GATGTTTCACATGTTCAAGAGAATTAACGGTATTTCTCATAATGCTTTTGAGTATACTATATGACTATGTGGAGAACCTCGTGTTGTGACTTATTTAATGTTTGCTTTCAGCCAAGGAGCATGTTGTGGGTTGGTACAGCACAGGTCCTAAACTTCGAGAGAATGATTTGGATGTTCACGCTTTGTTCAGTGGGTAAGAACATGGCTTAAGCATTTAGAGTCTACCTCCCCTCTCTTGCTATCTTTTATGTCTGCTTTACTTGGAGTTTTAATCTTAGTCTCTTGGTGTTGCAGCTATGTTCCAAACCCAGTGTTGGTCATTATTGATGTCCAACCTAAAGAACTTGGAATCCCCACAAAAGCGTATTATGCAGTTGAGGAGGTGAAAGAGGTAAAATACAATCCCTTTTCTAACCATATCATCTGACATTTTTTATTTACTTTCTTCTCTTTCTGAATATTGTGCTGTTTATGTAGTTCTATCCATATATTTAGTCGTCTTGATCCGAACTTCTTTTTATGCAGAATGCTACCCAGAAAAGCCAGCAAGTGTTTGTACACGTGCCTACAGAAATTGCTGCCCACGAAGTCGAGGAAATTGGTATGTCCACATGAGGAAAGCAAATCCGTTGATGAGATATTTTCTTTTGTGATTCCTTCTGAGGAAACTCATTGGAGTCCTACTTGCTTTGTTTATGTCTGTTGGTTGGTCTTGAACAGGTGTGGAACATTTGCTCAGGGATGTAAAAGACACAACCATCAGTACCTTGGCAACTGAGGTTCCTTTTTTTCACACAAAACTTAAGCATTACATTATCAAGCTTAATAATGTTTATCCAATTCCTGATTCTTGCTCTGAAAATACAAATGCGAGGAACATCTATCTTTATGCTGGAGGAGACTAAAGTTATTTGTGAACTGCATTTTAGGTCACTGCAAAACTTACTGCACTGAAGGGATTGGATGCACGACTTCGGGAGATTCGGAGTTACCTTGACCTTGTAATCGAAGGAAAACTCCCATTAAACCATGAGATTCTCTACCATCTTCAGGTTAGAACACTCCCATCTTTTCATTCTAGATGACTAGAAGTTATAATTATCGAACATGTTATCGTGCTTGCTTTTCCTACTACCTGTGGCTGCTATTTTCTATTGAGAAATGTCCAGTTAATTAAATCCTCTTCTGAATTATCTGTAGGACGTATTTAACTTGCTTCCTAACTTGAACGTCCACGAGTTGGTTAAGGCCTTTTCAGGTTCACTTTTTTCAGCCTTGAAGTTCTCTGTTTGCACAGTTATTCTCTCATTTGCATTCCCTAACTGTATTCATTTTGTGCAGTGAAAACGAATGACATGATGCTCGTTATCTACCTGTCTTCGCTCATCCGCAGTGTAATTGCCCTCCATAATTTGATCAACAACAAGGTTAGATTATCACCTCTCTCTCTGTTTCTATATCTTGATTCAATGAATTCGCTTTTTGGATTTTGTTTGTTTATCTCTGGATGATGGTATGTTTCAGTTATTGAACAAGGAACATGAAAAAGCAGAAGACTCAAAGCCCATTGCAATCCACGCAACCGCTGGTGCTAGTTAAAATGCATACAAGCTTGGGAGGTTTTCCAGTCAGATATTACTGCCTGTGAAGAGGTTCTAGTCGGGGACAAACGGGTTCGGTCTCGTTCCGATGATCTCCTCTTCTTCTACTGTTGGTTCTACAATGGTTGATGATATTAATTTCCTTTATGTTCAAAAGATTTATTTTTAACCCATTTGATGTTTCTTTCTTTCTTCTTCTTTAAAGATGATGATATATAAAGTAAGTTTCACATCAAACTGCTGCAACATATAATTTGTTCTCCTTTTGAGTGCACTGTAAAATCTGTCGGAATCGGTGTTCATAAATTGTTCCTTAATCAATTATTGCAGTCTCTGAGTCACCACCAAGATTCGAACCCATAATTCATGTTGTAAAAAAAAGTCAAGAACCTCCGGTTTTTGGTAAGTGACTTGGGAATTAGTGGGTTTTGGTTTAGATGTGGAGGATCCGGTTATCAACTGGTTTACTTGATTATTATTTACGGTTTGAATCAGTCGAGATTATTGATTAAGAAAAATCTTGTTTCAAGATTAGTACACCCTTCAACCAGAATCTCTAATATTCTTTTTTCACATATGGAAGAAATGTTAGTCATATAAATTATGATATATTCTATATTTTAATTTAAAAGGATTAGAGAATCGTATAATTAGATTCGTGTACACCGGATGTGTTGAGCTCCGGTTTATAAAAATATTTGTTTAAACGAAGCGTGAACAAGATCCATATCGATCGAAGATAAAAGAAAGAAGATTGTCACTTTTATTAAGATCTTGTCATGAAAATATAAAACTAAAGAAAAATATTAAGTACTTTGAAGGAAAATAAAACCTCACTAGTGGCGTAAGCTTCGTGAAAAAGGATATGATGATAAGCGGAAAAAAATGAAATCAAGAACGTGCTTTGTTACGCAATATGCTTTTAAGCCTACTTTTCAAGAACCATTTTAATTTTTCTTGATAATTGTTGTTCTTATTTAAAGAAACTACTCAATTAAATAATTAGACAAAGATTATGAACTAAGTTTTGTCGAATGATATAATCAATAAATATGTTCAAGATTAAGATTAGCCTTATAAGGTCGCAAAGCTTCTCGACGTTTCTCGTAGTTATTTAATTGTTCAATGTTCTTTGTGATGTCAGTATACTTACGCAGCCCCTTTGTGCATGCAATCAATATATTTTCCCCTAAATAATCCAGAAAAAGACATGTGATAATGACATATTTCTCTCGACCTAGCGTATTCATATTCTAATTGAAGTAATTATATATTCATTCATATGCTATTGTCCCTATAACTTTGTTATGGAAAAAGATAGAACAAGTTGTAATTTCACTTTAACTTCATATTTTTTTTTCATGTTGTTCTTAAAATTATTAGAGCAAATCCATCAGTAGGTTTTAAAGGGTTTCTTAAAATTAAAAAAAAAATAAAGGGGAGAAAGACTGAAAAAAGTTTCTCAAACGAGAAACTTTGAAATGGATATTAGAAATTGTCAATCATATATGCAGTGTTCTAAATGGATCAATTTTTCTTATTTAATTAAATAATTTAATTATATTAAAAGTATTAATATTAAATTAGTTAGATACCTTCTATTAAAACTCAAACTTGCTTTTAGCATCGCAAATCTTAGCCATCACGCATATTATAAATTTATAAAGGTCAAATTGTGGATACTGTATAGAGTATAGTATACCTATATAGTAATGCATGTACGACGTAAGAACATGGAATGTTTTTTCATATTGGTACATTATCAGTGTAAGGCATGTAGATCCCATCGATGCGACCAGATCGAAAGTGACAAAATAACAAAAGGGTGGCAAAGGAAATAAAGCCATAAAGCTGATTTCTTTTCTTTATCCGAAATAGGACTCACAAATCGCAATACCAATATTACATTTGATGATCAATATTCATCAAAAACAGAAGACAAGGAATTCAATCAATCCAATCTCTTTGAAATTGAATATGAACTATTATTCAATTACTCAATTATAACTTTAGCTTCTTGGTCTAGAAAACTAAAGATTTTGTTTTTATCGTTTTTAGTTATGTTGATCATTTGGAGACGAGTTGTTTCGTATCGTTTGGTTTGGCCAAATATCTAGATTTCTATAGTATTTAAAAAATGAGTCTCAACTTCGATTATTTTAGCCTGATCTTGGTTATCAAAAAGAAAACTCCTAAATTCGAACTCATTCGTTAGTCAAAAAAACAACTGTCATATTATCAAAGAAAATTATAAACTACGTTAATTTATCATGCATACCACTATAATTTATTAATGTTATTTCAAATTGCAAAATTATGTGACCCGAAAATTTCATATACCTCAAGCGATCGACATTATCTATTTATCTTTTTTTTTTTAAATTATCTAAGCGTTTATTGTTCTCTTTTCTTATCGCATGAGGAAAAGAAAAATGTGTTGTCTTTTCTTCACTATTTTACAAAAACTAGAAGTTGAAAGTAGACATATTTTTTATTAATGTTCGTGATTTAAACGATAAGTGTGCTGACTATGATCAGAAAGTTAAATACTATGGAATGTCTTTCGTTTTATTCTCTCGTGTTTTGGTTGGGACAACAAATGTTTTAAAATTAAAATTCATTCATATTTGTTTCCTCTTAATTTCACAAAAAGGAGAAGATTTTACAATGAGTCGACGAAAAATAATCTTACGGATTTCATAACTAAAGATTGTTTGTGCGAGCCATTATATAAATTAATATACGAAAAGTGACAATTAATTTTTGTTCTAAGAAAAAATAGCTCTCAAACTATTGAACATCATGATACAAGACTTAAAATTCATTTTCTTAATCTAAATAAGTTAATAC